GACTAAAACAATGGAGCCCCGAGTTGAATAATCCCCAGGCTGTACACCACCAGGGTTTTATTTTGAACATCGGAAATACCTGTGAAAAAAATGAAATATATTGTGCTTAATAATCCGTGCAAATAATAAAGGACCAGTTTTCTATCCGTTATAAGTGGAATTTATTTGAAAGGTAAATCCTTGCAAGGTTATGAAGTTGACCTTCATGCACACAGAGCTTATACAAGTTTATCAATTTAAATGTGTGGATGGGGAACACATTTTACCTTCTAGATTATTTATTTTGATGCTGCCATGTAGCAGGAAATCTAAGTGGCCGTTGTCTTTACATTGAATAGTTTGGTGCTGTTATATTGAAAAATATCAACAGGGAAAAAAACAATGCAAGAAATAAAACAAACCCCTTAAACCCTGAAATAATGAGAGCTTGACAGAGCAGATAGTATGTTAACAATGTGTATTTATTATACTGTTATTTCTTATTTTAATTCAACGATATTCAAGACAGTAAATATATGCAAATATGTGGACTCTGTTGATATGAATGGTTGATTAAAAAAATACATTCAATAGAGATGGTTACATTCTTTTGGATGGTCTGCAGTTGTCCCCTATACGCGCTAAGCAGCATTTTACACACACACGCACACACACACACACACACACACACACACACACACACACTCATGTCTCTTACACAAAGACATGCGTATCCTTTGAAGCGTTTAACTCATTGATAACATTTCATTGAGTTTCACATACATATGTTTTACGTGTTACATACGTGAGATCCACACGAAGGTGAACTACATCCGGATGTAACTCAAATAGTCTTTTTTTTTTGTTTAAATGCGATTGTTTCTCAGTTTGCTTGAACAGCCTCATGTTAAGCCTGTAAACCAATTTCAAGTCCGTGTTGTAGGTGTCGCTGTTGACCACGTCTGCATCCGCAGTTCGAGTGTGCGTGTGTGTGTGTGTGTGCGTGTGTGTGTGTGTGTGTGTGTGTGTGTGTGTGCAGAGAGAGGAGGCTGCGTCTCAAGGCCATTTTCAAATCTCATTGGTGGGCTTGTCATGTGGTCGGGAGGCATCCTGACTTACGCGGAGATTGTTTTTCCTAGATATGTCATCTTACAAAGGACATCTCTCTCCTCTAAAGAACTTAACCCCCCAAAATGTCCTTTCCCAGTAGCTCTCCTGCGGCAAATACATTTTTAGTGGACTCTTTAATTGGTGCTTGCAGGTCGGACAGCTTTTACTCCAGCAGCAACATGTATATGCCGTCTGCCTCAGAAATGGGAACTTACGGAATGCAAACCTGTGGACTCCTGCCGTCTTTCGGCAAAAGAGGGGAGGTCAACCACCAAAATATGGGCATGAATGTCCACTCGTACATACCTCAAATAGATAACTGGACTGATCCGAATAGACCCTGCAGAATACAGCCTTCCAACCAGATGTCAAACTGTACATTTTCACAGAGCATAAAGGAAGAGAGTAATTGCTGCATGTACTCCGATAAGAGAGTACAAAAAGTCAGCTCGACAGAGCTCCCCTCATATTCTAACGTTATTTCCGAATCTTGTCCTGTCGATGGTCCCGAGATCCCGGTTCCGGGCTATTTCAGACTGAGTCAAACTTATGCGAATGGGAAACATCAGGAAAACTACTGCCACGAGCCGCCGAGTCCAAACCAAACACTGACGCAGCTCAGCCGGGTCACCCCGAAACCGCAGCCGTCATCGGCGCCTTCAAATTGTGCAGAAGTGGAAAAGAAAAGCGAGGACGTCCCGCAAAACCACGAGACCTCAAGGACACCGGTCCCCGTAGAAAGTCCGGATCCCCAGTCCAGCTCCGGGGACAAAAAGTGCAACATGGAAGCCTCTGTGTCCAGTCCGAAGCTGCAACAGAAGGAAGGAAAAGGTGGGTTGGCTATAATGAAAGCTTTTATCTTGTGTCGCTGCAGTGCTGAGAAGGCTCCAGCATCATAAAACCAAGTATAAAACACAAACAACCCTAAAGTCGTAATGTTTAATGACAGTCTTTCTCAGGTTGCAGTAATGGGCAACAGAGAATGGTTTTACCATGCAGCATGTCTGTGTTCCTCTTTCTTTAGATATTTAAATAATGTGCATTAAAAAAAAACATTTCACTTTGTTGTCTTATATTTGGGCATGTTGCACGGTTTTCAGAGCCTGAAATCATTGCCATATACTTGTTGCATAAATGCAAAATTGAATCATTGCAGGAGCTTCTAAAATTGGTGCATTTGCAGCATTCAGGATAGTTGAGCCTCTGTCTTTAGAACATGACACAATTAGTTTGATATTTTATTTCAGGTTGATAATTGTAAGAATGTAATCAAACATGTAAATACATTTGAAGCTTTGAAAAAATAGTAGTTTTTGATCATATGTCAAGCTGTGTAAAGATGTGTTTCCGGTGCGCGGTTTGATCAGTTGGGGGTTGTTTAATTATATTTCTATTTCATTAGTGGTGTCTTGTCTACGTGACTAATAACATCCCCTACATGGTATTTATTCTGGGAAAATATTCATATGTGTTATTTCCCAGAGGTAAAATCCAAAGCAGCAGGTGAGTTAGTCCAAGCTGAATCTCTGAAATACTGAAAGCTGTCAATGATTTTAATCTCTTTGCAGTCTGCGACACCCCGACGAGCAACTGGTTAACTGCAAAAAGTGGGAGAAAGAAAAGATGTCCCTACACAAAGAACCAGACCTTGGAGTTGGAGAAGGAGTTTCTCTTCAATATGTATCTGACCCGAGAGCGCCGCCTAGAGATCAGCAGGGGCGTCAACCTGACCGACAGGCAGGTCAAGATCTGGTTTCAGAACCGCAGGATGAAACTGAAGAAAATGAACAGAGAAAACCGCATCCGTGAACTGACCTCAAATCTCACCTTTTCGTGAGCTTGCATGTATCCGTGGTTAGCTGCCTTTTTATTGTTTCTCACATTCAGTTTGATGCTTCCGCATCAGACGTTTATCTTCAATTTCAACGAAACTGTGACTGCATAAGCCAATTTGTCGTGTATTTGTTTTATTTCATCACAGGGTAACACTTTTGGGTCTTAAATTATTGGAGAAGCATGTCTTCCCTTTAGCCAGTAGACGTGGATGTTCTGTTGTGTTGCGTTTGGAAAAGAGTTCTTATTTTCAGTCATGAAAGCACATTTATTGTCGTTGTCGTGCAACATTTGTTTTACAGTATAAGTGCAAGCCATTTGCCAGTGAAATGTTTCTATGGCGGAAAACAATGTTAATCTGTGAATTCATTGCATGTTTGTGCATGTATATTGCAATAAATTGTAAAATAATCTTGTTTTGTTTGTTTATGCTGTCAAAGTCTGTTGTCTTTAATTACTTCAGGTACATTGCTATTTCACTGTAGAAATTCGGTATTATCTGCAGTGACGGAGGCATTAGTTTGCTTTAAAGTGCTTTGAAGAGGAAGAAAAAAAAATAAACGAGCCTATTGCACTTTACTGCAAAAAAAAAAAAGAAATTGTGTTCCAAAAATACCCCTAATGCGTTTGTAGTTTTACTAAACTCGAGAATAATAGTTTCACTGCAGCTGACGATGAACTTACAAGCTTCACTTCAAATATTTAGTTTGTGGGCTACCAGCAGTTTTAACGCATGCGGTTTTTAGTTGTTGTGATACAATAGTTTGCCTATTATCTCATGCTTTCAAAGACATTCCAGCTCCCCGAAGGCAAACTGAAAACTAGACTAATTGTGAACTTAAGAACAAAAAAAATCAACACAAGACAACACAAAATGTCCCTTTCTGTGTACAACCAGTGCAGCAGAGCGACGCAAAGCGGCGGGGGTCGTGTAATGAAATAAACATGGTGCTTTGATTCTTAGTTCTGTTTGTGACTAAACTAACAGCCTATAAGGACCATCAGACGGGATTGTTATGTTCAAGCACAGTTTCACAAACAAGACTCGGCTCTTTCTTCCGTCTGTGCCACACAGGCCTCAGCAGCCTGGAGTTATTTTCATTGTACAGAATAACTTTTCATTGTACAGATTAACTTCCTATTTTATGATTATCGGTGATGAAATGATACGTCACTGTCAGTCTGATCCAGTCTGCAGATCTGACCTAGATTTTGAACATATTTGAAGGTCAACAAACTCTTTTTTATAAGCAGCTCAAACGTTAATTTCGACTTTAAAATAGGCGAGATGTAGCCTCTATTTAAAATGAGCTTACACCTTTCAGACAGCAACACACAGACGGACTTCTCCAAGCCTATGTTTTTCTTTTTCTTTTATTGACGGCATGTATAATCACACGCACCTCATAAAACATTTATTGATGCATAAAGACATTATTGCCCTCCTTTGAATGAATTCCATAATTTCACAACTGCCGTTTCCGGTTTAGCATTTAAAATTCAAGCCAACCCAGAAAAATGTTTGGTCGCCGAATAATAACAAAGGATACACCGCATTGTGAACGGAAATGGCTTCTGTTATTTTACAACATGTTATTACATCTATTTTACGAGGACTCCGTAAGTCTATAAAGCATTTTACAAGCATTGGGGGTATCAGGATGATATTAGGAGAGTTTTCTCCAACATTAAGATGCAGGGTGTTGGTGGACTGTGAGATGAATGTGTCTTAATCCTTTTTTTTAAGCTGCTTGTATTGTTGCAGCGTCCTGCAGCCACCGCACATGAGGAGGAACAAAAAAAAAAAAAACACATAGACATTTGCATTCATTTGATCATTTGAGCGACTTTTTTCTCCCCCAGTCACATCTGATGGTTATTTTTTTATTATATGTGAAATGAAAAGCTAAATTAAACCTGACGGGGGAAAAAGAGAGCAAGGGCAGGATTGATTTACTCGCTGTATTGGTAAATATGACCACGTGATCCATGTAACCAATCCCTGTAGATGCAGGCCAGCAAAAATACTATGATTGTTCATAGAGGGACGCTTCCCGTAACAGTTCAACCCTTATTATATGAGTAGGAAGAGATCAAAAATGTCTTCCAGTGGCACTCTCAGTAACTGCTATGTGGACGCTATAATGGGGCAGGAGCCGGAGGATGCGTACGGTGCTCGCTTTATTCAGGCTCCGCACACGGTGACCCCGAGGCCGTCAGGTGCCGGGGACAACGCAGACTTCGCCTCTTGCCATTTTGCACCAAAGTCCGGCGTTTTCTCGTCGTCGTGGTCCGCGGTTCACCCGCAGGGAATTTATCATCCGTACATGCACCACCACCACCACCACCACCAGTCTCATCTCCCCGCCTCGGACGGCAGATATGTGGGCGTCCGCTCCTGGATGGACCCCATCTCCAACCACGTTTCGTTCGCCGGATTTCACTCCAGCAGTCGCTCGTACGGAACAAAGCCCGAGGTCTTGCCACCGAAAGCTACAGAGTGCGACGCGTTGGAGGCAGAGGCTCGGCCGCTCGCCGGTGAATTCGCATGCGGAGTATCGGAGTGTCAGGAAAAAGCGACCAAAGAGCACAGTGGAAGTGAACTTTCGATCCACAGCGAGCCCAAAGAGGAGAAACAACAACTTGACCCAAGTAAGTAAACGAAATAGCTACTCCTGATTTACAACCGTAAGAACTGTACGAGCTGGGTGTGTAAAACCGGAGGTTTTACTAACCTATAAAAGTGTCTCGTATGGCTGCTATAGCTCGGCTCGGGAAGGGGGAAAACCCGCCCTGCTCGGGTTATTACAGCGGATCCTAAAGTTTTTCATGTCACAGGACCCAAAATAGAAACACGTTGCTCCTTTTTGATGAGATTTTTACCCGAGATGGACTTTACAGATATGTCTGGGTGTTATTTTCTTCCTTATTCTACCTTGTAATAACAGGAAAACATGTAGGCCATATATATCAATCTTTGCGCATTGTCTGAACAACACCGTGTCCCCCATCACGTTGTTAAACAATTTCTGATATTGCTTTTCATTTCCTAGACAGCATGTGTCCTCACAGCTTCCCGAACCCCAATTTGATAACAACTAATGAAGTTTAAAACGATAAACATCCTCATCACGTGTGTTTTACTTGTTTCTGTTTTTTCAGACAACCCTGCAGCGAACTGGATTCACGCACGCTCCACGAGAAAGAAGCGATGCCCGTACACGAAATATCAGACTTTAGAGCTGGAGAAGGAGTTCCTCTTCAACATGTATTTGACAAGAGACCGACGCTATGAAGTGGCCCGCATACTCAGTTTAACCGAGAGACAAGTGAAGATCTGGTTCCAGAACAGGAGGATGAAAATGAAGAAGATGAACAGAGAGAGGAGCGGCAGAGAGCTGCTATGAAATCACTGTCCTTTGACACATTTGCACCAAGGAAGCCATCTGAACAATTAAATTCATTTTGGTAGGAGCATCGGTAGCCATTTTATTTTTTTAGAACCTCTAGAGTAATATTGCGTGTCTGTGTCATACAGTGTTTGCCTCGAAATCGCATATGCAGGAGTTTGTCTTTGTGACATTCAGACTGGATCCGTCAAAATACAGATTCATCTGATATTTTCCCCTGTTTTGCATTTCACTCAACCGCAAAAGCAAGTTTGTCAGATTTGTTGAGCCTCCCTTGTCAGTAGGAAACGTGTCTATGTGTAACGCTTATAGTTGTTAAGAATTTGGAGTTGTATATAAAACATTTTCACAGCTGCACGACTGCTGTCTATTGTCGGTACACACACATGGAGATACTGCATCACTAAATCCTGCATTGACCCAATTCTTCGCAAATACTTTTACCTTGAAATTGTCGCCCTAATAAGTGTGAAGGAAAAACAGGCGTGCATTTTGCTTTCTCGAAAACCAAACACAAATGTGTTGATCAGCATTTTCCTTTAATGCATTTAACACGTGACTCTGTACGTTGCATACTGTTTGTTTATTTCCTTTACGTAATTCGTTTTATTAATACAAAATAAAAAAAAAACCCTCAACCTTAGTTTTTAGTACGGCTGCTACTGAATCTCAATTTATTTTAGCCGCACAATTTGAACATGTAGCCTACACAATTTAACCCATAGTCAGTGTGCCACTGTATTTACAATTTTCTCTTTTTGCAGCCAACAAATTGATTGAGAGGGATTTAATTGATTCAAATCGCTCTATAATTCTAACAGGTTACATTCTGCGTGTTGAATTTCACTTTTTTTTAAAACGGTGGATTTGAATAGAAGAACAAGTCATAAAGTATTTACGATTGCGAGAGATGTTGCGGTGGATTTCCAATTTATTGTCCAACTTGTACGAATAATTACTTTAAAGCAGGAAGAGACGCGGTCCAATAAAGCCATAGAAATGGCTAGACGTCTGGCCTAAATGAGTTTATGGCCCTGGCCAGTAATTACGCTCTCCTTTGAAACCCCCTTTTTCTGGGGCGTTTGTGTCTGTTGCTGACCAACAGAATGTAGACACTTTTCCACAGGGTGTCTGGCCGATGAATTGTTTTAGAGGAAATCACCCCCACCTTAATGGTCACGTTTATTCCTATACTGCACTTCCCACTGGTGAGAAAAAAAAAACTTAACTTTCAGTAGTGTCCGGTGCAGTTGTAATTTCTTATTTATTTTATATTGAAATGTAAAACCAATGTGTCCTAATTTGACCTAATACAGGCTGCACTACATGAAACAAAATACGTCTTGGTAATTTTAAATTGTTCTTAAATTTGAGCAAATTAATAAATAACAGTTTTGTAACTGCACTATTTAAAATCAAATGGAAAATCCCTGAAGTATGCAGAGCTAAACACAATCTGCTGGAGCAGTATGCTTCATTGTAAAAGTAATGAGAGCGCTAGAGGGCGATATTGGTCTTTTAGTCTCAGTTACAGCAATTCATTCACAGCTAGAGCAAGTTGGCAAGACAACACATGTCATCTAAAAGTCCAGGGGTCGGTTTTTAAAAAATACTTTCTGTCCTTAATTAAGAGCTGTTTCTTTTTTTAAAACAACGAAAATAGCACGTTTCTTTCAACAGTTGCATAATTGAAACACCCAACATCTCAGCAACACGTAGACATTTGCATAAAAGAGCAGCCAGTTTTAATCTATAGAGCAAATAGGAGCAGCCTTGGGTGATCATAATTTACAGATAAAAACAACAGGAAGTATTGCAGACAACTTTAGGAAATGTGTTCCTCTACATTTTCCATTCAAAGGCCATATTCCTCTTTAGCATGTTACATGTCATATAGCAGCGATTAGTCTTTTGTTGTCCTTGTAGTGAGCTGGTGAAAATATTGATGATAAACAAATATTTTATTGAAACTCAATAGTGACTCTGGAGCTATAACAGCGACACTGTGCCCTGTGATTTTACCCCGAACAATGCTCAAATTGAACTTCCATGTTTTTTTTTGTTAAATCACTGAAATAGTGATGACCTTTTGGGAAATAGTCACAAAATGCAATCATGGTTCGTATTGGGCCTGTGGAGGAAAATAGCATTATATATATATATATATATATATTTATATAAACCAACTGCATCAAGCGTCAGTGCTGAGGCATTTGCTATTTGCTATTTTGTGTATCTGCAGCGCTCAGAGAGAAACAAGACAGAAAACATTGAAGCAGTTCGAGGAAATGTTGAATTGATTGTTTGCGTCTTTGTGCATTGTGCTACATGATGAATCCAGTACTGACGACTGTCACGGCTGATAACCTGACCCCAGAATGACGATGTTCAGCTTCTTTATTTAAAAAATATATATGTGATTACACGCTGTTCACACGCAGGCCTCAAGCAATTTCATTTACCGTTATATGTTTCTCTCCATATAGGTCATGAGTGAGTGTCAGCTATACACTCAACTTCACTCTTGTCATTAGCTACAGTCATGTTATAGCAGAGGCCGTGTTGCTTCGGAGTCACACATTAAATGTGCAGTCGTATGGAGTGTGGAGGCTGTATGAAATTAAGAGCTGTGGAAATTAGCTGTTTCTGACCGATAGGGAACACATGTGAAAGTAAACAAGTTTGAGGGTAATGTGTGTGTGAGAGAGAGAGAGAGAGAGAGAGAGAGAGAGAGAGAGAGAGAGAATAAGGAAGTGAGGCTGTTTCACCTTCATATATCTCTTGTCAAACCTATAGACAGATCCTGTATATCTTTAAGTGACTTTTAGGATTCTCCATTATAAGTAAAAGTCCTGCATTGAAAATATAAGCAGGCAACGAGTACGTGTTATCAGCGAAATGCATCAAAAGTGAAAATACTCATAATGTTGAAAAATGATCCATGTGATCCAGGGATTTGCATTATTTTCATTAATTAAAACTGAGGCATCTGTGTAATTAGCACTTTACTTTGCAGTTGCCCGAGGTGGAGCTGATTTGAAGTATTTTATATTCTGGGCAGTTTTTTTTAATTTCAGATATAGGCTCCAAAACACATGATTTAACTATTAAAACATGACATGCATGACGTAAAATCTTATGCTGCAAAATAACCAAAGCTATCAGGTAAAGGCAGTGGAGTACAAAGTCAAATATTTCCCTCTGAAAATATTGCACTTTTTTAGCATATTGTAGCAGCATGAAATCAAGTAAAGTATACGCCACAAGTACTTCAAATTTGTACGTGTACTTGAATAAGTGTATAGTATACATCCCATCACATATACTACGTCAAATCTACGCCATATTGTCTCCTATCCAATCCACGAACAATAACAATAACCGTGAAACAGTTGAGGTATGACGCAGTTTGACAGGTATTCTACAGAGTGAATTGTGTGATGTCTCACGTTCTGAAGCCCCCGACCTGTGTGTGTGTGCGTGTGTACGTGTGTGCGTGTGTACGTGTGTGTGTGTGTGTGTGTGTGTGTGTGATGTTCTGTTGGAGACAAAGAGGAGGAACACAGAATGAAACATCAACGCAACAAATAGCGTTAGGAATGCATGTTGAATCATGGCTGCAGAGCCTTTAATACTCACGTGTGCACACTTGTGTCATCATTAAGCAGACTATGATGATAGGATCCGTTTTTATGACCGATTCTGAATTCGTTCACCGCCCCCAGATCATCGCAAACACTGAAATTGTCAGTGGAACCAACATGGTGTAAACATAAAACAGCCTCTGCATATTTGGGTTGATTTCCTTTGAATCAGGCCATGCAGAAATTAGGCCAATATGCTCTCTAATAAAAGTAAACCATATATTTAGTGAATAATGTCGCATTACCGGAACCTATACTTTCCTGTTAGGAACCTCTCTCTTTAAACACCTTTCAAACATTTTTTTTTTTAATTCGCTTTCGGAACAATCAGGTTTTTAATTTAAATATTTTTTAAATTCAAAACAAGCCTTAGGAGGTGGCAATTTCAACTCACACAGCGAATTTACTGAGCTGGACGATTTACTTGGATGCTTAGCTTTCTTAAGATAACTGATATAAAGAGACGCTGCTTTGGCTTTCTATTCTTAAACCGCATGGAATACTGAGACTCAATTAATATGCAGACATGGATACTACTCTGTGAGATGTACTGTCCTGGTGGTTGCCACATCTTTATTAGTCCTTTTATTAGTGTCTAACAATGTTGCAGCTGCATGTAAGGCCTAGCTCACCACCTCATCATCACCATCCATGATGACCCCATGCTTTATAGGTTTCCTTTTTTTCAATAACATCAGTCAGGAGTTTAAAACTAAAGCAGTGGAGGGCAATGCTGACGTCTAGTTTCCTTTCTTATGACACTAAAAAAGGTTTTCTAACTAACTACCAACTTACTAGCTAGTCGGCTTGTATTTGTATGTGCATGTTTAACTATTTGATGTGTGCCGCTCTTATTAGGCTATCTAACGGACCGGCAGGCACCATTTGTTCTCCCTAATCAAAAGAAATGGCCAATGTGAGGGAGCTAGATTTGTCTTTGGTTCTCCATCATTCATTTAGTGTGCATTGGTCCACTACCAACGAGGCGACTCTCTTACCAGCAGGGACCTCGGGAAAAAAAGCGGAATGAGCAAACAAACAGTCCTGTATCTCTGCACCGAAACTAAAGCGATAATAATCCACATCTGAATGACCTTTTCCCAATTGACTGGACTAGAGTTACAATAATGTCCAAGTCATAGTTGTGCAACACATCCTGATCTCTTGCAGCACACGCACACGCACACACACACACACACACACACACACACACACACACACACACACACAGGAAACCAGAGGCCGAGCTATAGCTTGACTATAAATCGCACAGTGAGTCTGGCATGCCACCAGAACAAGAATGACATGAAAAAAAAATTTTTTTTGCTGCAGAATTGTGCATGGACGTGTTGG